TAGTAAGCTCTTTCAGTTTTGCAGTCTGAAGGAGGCTTGCATTAATCACCTCAATTAGACCGTCTGCATTGCGGCAAGGACAGAGGGCTTTCTGTATCCCAGGTTCTTGCCCTAGAGTACCATAAAAATCAGATCACAAGTGGGCTCGGAAGATAAGTGCAAGGTTTTATTGAGTGGTGGAGGTATCCCTCAGTGAGGTGGATGGGGAGCCAGAAGGCAGATGGACTGGGAAGGTGGCCTTCCCCTGGAGTTCAGTCCCAACTGAATTCTGCATCATCCCACCTTGATGGCCTGCCAGTGTGTGCTAGTGTCAGTTGGTGTGCTCTTTTACTCCTTTTGATGTCTAGCCACTTGTGTGTGTAATGCCTACTATGGTCTTTGGGATTTATATGGACACAGGATCGGGGCATGGCAGACCAGAGTGGTCTTGGAAAATGCAACATTTGGGAGTGAAAACAGGAGTGCCTGTTCTCACATACGTCTATGGGCAGCGGCATGAGGATGGAGTCCTTGCCACAGACACCACCGTTCTCTACCTAGCACTTCCCCACCCACCTCCCATATCGCCCTCAGACTGAGAAAAAAGCAAAGACCTGAGTGCTTAAACCACACCTTGAACAAACTGCAGCTGTTGCCCTGAGGAGAAGAGGCTATTCTGTCTTCCCCATGAGCCCTCCATCCCCCCTACTCATAACCAGGCAGTGCCCACCAAGCTTGAGCCCACAATACAGCCACCTCACACCTGGCTGAATACACTAACAGTCACCAGCTCTGCATTTCTCTAGGGTGGAGCCCCAAGGAGAAAGTGAAAGGTCCTCTGCCACTGCCACTGACCTTGGCAAGGATTCTTCCCCTGTTGTCTCCAAGCAAGGTAAGGAACAAAAAGCCTGAGCTTGTCCCAGGGCTGTGGTGTGCAACCTGGGAATACCAAGACAAGACATACAGCCAACATTCAAGTGGGAAAGGAGCCCACACTTTCAGAATATTAAGAGACTGAAATTGAGAAAAAATAGAGGTGGCACATTGCTGAGCAAAAGCCTGCCTACTGGCCATTATGCTTAAGTGCCATCTACTGGATCACAACCCAAAAATATTTTCAACATGAAAAACATTTTGCTAATATGCCTCCCTGTGAAATCAAGGATAAGAATTTAGCACAAGTAAAAATCTGGCACAAAGCCTCAGCCCTCTGAAAACATCTAGAAAGGAAGTCAACTGACTGTGCTCAAATTACACCACAGTTGATAACAAAAAAAAAAAAAAAAAAAAATCAACCCACACATATCAGAAAGATCCAGCACAGGAACTCTGGCAACTCAAAAATACAGAGTGTCTTCTTTCCCACAAATGACTACACTAGTTCCCCAGTGAGAATTCTTAACCAGACTAAAATGGCAAAAATAGAATTCAGAATCTCAATAAAAATGAAGACCATAAAGATTCAGGAGAAAGTTGAAACCCAATACAAAGAATCTAAGGATGACAATAAAATGACACAAGAGCTGATAGATAAAATAGACATTTTAAGAAAGACTTGGCCAGGCACAGTAGCTCATGTCTATAATCCCAACACTTTGGGAGACCAAGGTGGGTGGATCACCAGGTCAGAGTTAAAGACAAGCCTGACAAACATGGCGAAACCCTGCCTCTAGTAAAAATACAAAAATTAGCCAGATGTGGTGGCATGAGCCTAAGTCTCAGCTACTCAGGAGGCTGAGGCAGGAGAATTGCTTGAACCCAAAAAGTTGAGTTTGCAGTGAGCAACGATTGCACCACTGCACTCCAGGCTGGGCATCAGAGTAAGACTCCATCTCATAACAATAAAAAATGAAATAAAGATTCAAACTGACCTGATAGAGTGGAAAATACACTACAAGAATTTCATAATGTAATCACAAGTATTGACAGAAGAATAGACCAAGTTCAGAAAAGAATCTGCAAGTTCGATGACTGGTTCCCTTAACTATAGTGGTCAGAGAAAAAAATAAACAAAATGCTCAAAAAAATAAGAGATTATGTAAAGAAAGCAAATCTATAACTCAATGGTGTCCCTGAAAGAGATAAGGAGAGAGTAAGCAACTTGGAAAACGTATTTCAGAATATCATCCGTGAAAACTTCCCCAACCTCACTAGAGAGGCCTAAACACAAATTCAGGAAATGCAGAGAACCTAAGTGAGATACTACACAAAAAGACCACAGCCAAGACACATAATCTTCAGATTCTCCAAGGCTGAAATAAAAGGGAAAAAGTGAAAAGGCAGCTGGAAAGAAGAGGCAAGGCACCTACAATGGAAACCCCATCAGGCTAACAGAGGACCTTTCGATAGACACTTTACAAGCCAGAAGAAATTGAGGGCCTATATTAAGCCTTATTAAATAAAAGAATTTCCAAGCAAGAATTTCATATACAGACAAACTAAGCTTCATAAACCTAGGAGAAATTTGATCTTTTCCAGACAAGCAAATGCTTGTCTGGGAATTCATGACAACCAGACCTGCCTTACAAGAGGTCCTGAAAGGAGTGCTAAATATGGAAAGCAAAGACTGTTATAAGCTACTACAAAAACACACTTAGGTATGCAAACTATTGACCCTATAAAGCAACCACAAAAACAAGTCTGCACAATAGCCAGCTAGAAACATGATGAAAGGATCAAATCCACACATATCAATATTAAACTTGAATGTAAATGGGCTAAATGTTCCAATTAAAAGGCACAGATTGGCAAGCTAAATGAAGAAGGACTGAATAGTATGCTGTCTTCAAGAGACCCATCTCACATGCAATGACACCCCATAGGCTCAATGTAAAGGGATAAAAGAAAATATACCAAGCAAATAGAAAACAAAAAATCAGGGGTTGTTATTCTAATTTCAGGAAAAAAAAAAAAAAGACTTTAAGCCAACAAAGATCAAAAAAGACAAGGAAGGTCATTACATAATGGTAAATGGTTCAATTCAACAAAAATACCTAACTATCCTAAATATTTATGCACTCAACACAGGCACACCCAGATTCATAAAGCAAGTTCTTAGAGATCTACTAAGAGACTTAGATTTCCACACAATAATAGTGAGAAACTTCAACACCCCACTGACAGTTTTTAGATAGACCATCCAGCCAGAAAATTAACAAGGATTTTCAGGACCTAAACTTAACACTTGACCAAATGGAACCAAATTAGACATCTACAAAATGATCCACCCAAAAAGAACAGAATATACCATCTTCTTATCTGCACATAGCACATACTCTAAAATCAATCCCTAAATGTTTTAGTTCTAGAACAACTGGACATTAAACAATCCTCAGAAAAACTGTTAAATTCAAATCATACCAACCACATTCTCAGACCACAATGCAATAAAATAAAAATCAACACTAAGAAAATTGTTAAAAACCATACAATTACATAGAAATTAAACAATCTGCTATTGAATGACCTTTGGGTAAACAATAAAATTATGGCAGACATCAGGAAATTCTCTGAAACTACTGAGAACCAAAAAAAATACGAGCAACTCTAGGACACAGTTAAAGTAGTGCTAAGAGAAAAGTTTATACTGCTAAATGCTCACATCAAAAATTCATACAATCTTAAATTAGCAACCTAACATTACACCTAGAGAAACTAAAGAAACAAAATCAAACCAAACCCAAAGCTAGCAAAAGATAAAAAATAACTAATAGCAAATCTGAAATGATGGAAACTAAGAGACAAAAAAACATACAAAAGATCAATGAATACAAGAGTTGTTTTTTTGACAGAAGAAATATGATAGGCCACTAGTTATGCTAATAAAGAGAAAAAAAGAGAAGATCCAAATAATCAGAAATGCCAAAAAAGACATTAGCACCAATCCCACAGAAATATAAAAAACCCTCAGAGAACACCTCTGCACATACACTAGAAAACCTAAAAGAAATAAATACATTCCTGCAAACATACAAACTCCCAAAATTGAGCCAGGGAGAAACCGAATCCCTAGACAGACCAATAAATAGTTCCAAAATTGAATCAGTAATAAAAAGCCTACCAACCATAAAGGACTCAGGACAAGAAAGATTCACAGCCAAATTCCACCAGATGCATAAAGAAGAGCTTGTACCATTCTGACAGAAATTACTCCAAAAAATTGAGGAGGAGGAACTCCTCTTCAACTCATTCTATGAAGCCAGCTTCATCCTGATACCAAAACCTGGCAGAAACACAATAAAAAAATATTCAGGCCAATATCCTTGATGAATACAGATTTAAAAATTCTCAAAAAAAACTAGCAAACTGAATCCTGCAGCACATGAGAAAGATAATCCACCACACTCTTGTAAGCTTTATCCCATGGAAGCAAGGTTGGTTCAATAATCACAAATAAATAAATATGATCTACTACATAAACAGAACTGAAAACGAAAATCACATGACTATCTCAATACATGCAGAAAAGGCTTCTGGTACAATTCAACGTCCTGCATGTTAAAAGCCCTCAACAAACTGGGCATTGAAGGAAAATATTTCAAAATAATGAGCCATCTATGACAAACCCACAGCCAACATCATACTGAATGGACAAAAGCTGAAAGCATTCCCCTTGAGAACCAAAACAAGAATGCCATCTCTCATCATTCCTAGCCAACATAATACTGAAAGTCCTAGCCAGAGCAATCATGAAAGAGAAAGAAATAAAAGGCCTGTAAATATTAATAGGAAGAAAGAAAATCAACAATCTCTTTTTGCAGATAATATGATTCTATATGTAGAAAACACCATAATCTCAGCCCGTAAACTCTTAAAGCTAATAAACATTGCATTAGTAGCTGACTGGGTCTATATTAGTTACGCATTTCCTATAAAAAAGAAACCACTATAAAAGTAAGCATAAACATTACATTATTTCTAGCTGTTGGAATTTGAGAAAAAAAAATCCGATAAAATTAACCAAAACTTGTTCAAAAAATAATTTTGTACATTAAGAAATTATTTAACTCATAGGTTCTTACCTTTCTCGGTTAAATTTAAGAGAATGGAGAATAGCTGGCTTTTTTTGTCTAAGGTTCCACAAATGAAGTGTATCATCTGAACTTGCACTGACCAAGGCACCCTAGAACAAAAAGAAGATAAAGTAGTATGTGATTTACTTAATTTAGGGTTTTTGTGAAGCAGAAACATGCTACTTTACTCAATTTTTTACTATCTGAAAAGTTAGTTGTCTCTATATAACCAAGAAATATAAGGAAGAATAAGTGCATAAATCTTAATCAGGAAGGATAAGAATGCTGAGCACAGAAGAGAAAACTAACCCACTACATTTCAATAATGAGGAAGACTAGCTTAGGAATATTCATTTACCAATAGAGAGAATTAACTATTATAGCATCATTATGACCATTAAAGGTTTCTCTATGGGAGAAATATGGTTTAGATTTTTTTGTTGTTGTTTCTACTATTCACACATATACTAAATAACCTTAAGAAGCAAATACAAAATACAATCTTATAAAATTGAATACAGGTCACATAAAAATTCTCCTTTGCAAGAATTTTCTGTACATTTAAAATGTGTATATTCTTCCTAAAAAGTGCAGTCAATATAATTTCCTTCTTACAGTCCAAGAAGTTTATTATTTATAAAGAACAATATCAATAAAAGCATTTCTCCAACTACAATTTCATATAACTATAAAATCAAATTAAGATTCTTTTTTAAAATATACTTGAAGTTCTAGAATACATATGCAGAACTTGCAGGTTTGTTACATAGGTATACATGTGCCATGGTGGTTTGCTATGCCCATCAGCCCATCATCTACATTAGGTATTTCTCCTAATGATATCCTTCCCCTAGGCCCCCATCCCTGACAAGTCCCAGTGTGTGATGTTCCCCTCCTTGTATCCATGTGTTCTCATTGTTTGACGCCCACTTATGAGTTAGAATATGTGGTGCTTGGTTTTCTGTTCTTCTGTTAGTTTGCTGAGAATGATAGTTTCCAGATTCATCCATGTCTCAACAGAGAACATGAACTCATCTATCTTTATGGCTGCATAGTATTCCATGGTGTATATGTGCCACATTTGCTTTATTCAGTCTGTCATTGACAGGCATTTGGGTGGTTCCAAGTCTTTGTTATTGTGAACAGTGCTGCTATAAACATACGTGCACATGTGTCTTTATATTAGAATGATTTATAGTCTTTTGGGTATATAACCAGTAATGGAATTTCTGGGTCAAATGGTATTTCTGGTTCTAGATCCTTGAGGAATCATCACAGTCTTCCACAATGTTCGAACTAACTTATACTCCCATTACCAGTGTAAAAGCGTTTCTATTTTTCCACATTCTTTCCAGCATCTGGCGTTTCCTGACTTTTTAATGATCGCCATTCTAACTGGCATGAGATGGTGTCTCATTGTGGTTTTGATTTGCATTTCTCTAATGACCAGTGGTGATGACTTTTTTCATATGTTTGTTGGCTGCATGAATGTCTTCTTTTAAGTAGTGTTCATATCCATAGTCCACATTTTGATGAGGTTTTTTTCTTGTAAATATGTTTACATTCCTTGTAGATTCTGGATATTAGCCATTTTTCAGATAAATAGATTGAAAAATTTATTCTCATTCTATAGAGTGCCTCTTCACTTTCATAATAGTTTATTTTGCTGTGCAGAATATCATTAGTTTAATTAGATCTCATTTGTCAATTTTGGCTTGTATTGCCATTGCTTTCGGTGTTTTAGTCATGAAGTCTTTGCCCATGCCTATGTTCTGAATGCTATTACCTAGAATTTCTTCTAAGGTTTTTATGGTTTTAGGTCTTATGTTTAATCCTTTAATCCATCTGGAGGTAATTTTTGTATAAGGTATAAGGAAGGGGTCCAGTTTCAGTTTTCTGCATATGGTTAGCCAGTTTTCCCAATACCATTTATTAAAATAAAGAATCCTTTCCCCATTGCTTTTGTCAGGTTTGTCAAAGATCAGATGGTTGTAGATGTGTGGCATAATTTCTGAGGCCTCTGTTCTGTTCCATTGGTCTATATATCTATTTTGGTACCAGTACCATGCAGTTTTGATTACTGTTGCCTTGCATTATAGTTTGAAATATATGCTTCCAGCTTTGTTCTTTTTGCTTAGAATTGTCTTATCTATACAGGCTCTTTTTTTTCTTCCATATAAAATTTAACATAGTTTTTTTTTTTTTTAATTCTGTGAAGAGAGTCAATGGTAGCTTGATGGGGATAGCACTGAATATATAAATTACTTTGGGCAGTATGGCCATTTTCACAATATTGATATTTTATACCCATGAGCATGGAATGTTTTCCCATTTGTTTGTGTCTGCTCTGATTTCCTTGTGCAGTGTTTCATGGTTCTCCTTGAAGAGGTCCTTCACTTCCCTTGTAAGTTGCATTCCCATGTATTTTATTCTCTTTATAGCAATTGTGAATGGGAGTTCACTCACAGTTTGGCTCTTTGTCTGTCACTGGTATATAGAAATACTTATGATTTTTGCATGTTGATTTTGTATCCTGAGACTTTACTTACATTGCTTATCAGCTTAAGGAGATTTTTGGGCTGAGACTATAGGGTTTTTCAAATATACAATCATGTCATCTGCAAAAAGAGACAATTTGACTTCCTCTCTTCCTATTTGAATACCCTTTATTTCTGCTCTCTTGCTTGATTACCCCAGACAGAACTTCCAATACTATGATAAATAGGAGTGGGGAGAGATGGCATCCTTGTCTTCTGCCTGTTTCGAATGGGAATGCTTCTAGCTTTTGCCCATTCAGTATGATATTGGCTGTGGGTTTATAATAAATAGCTCTTAATATTTTGAGATATGTTCCATCAATACCTAGTTTATTGAGAGTTTTTAGAGTGAATGGGTGTTGAATTTCATTGAAGGCTTTTTCTTTACCTATTGAGATAATGTTGTGGTTTTTGTGACTGGTTCTGTTTAAGTGATGTATTATGTTTATTGATTTGCATATGGTGAGACAGTTTTGCATCCCAGGGATAAAGTCGAGTTGGTCATGGTGGATAAGGTTTTGATGTGCTGCTGGATTCAGTTTGCCAGTATGTGATTGAGGATTTTTGCATCTGTGTTCATCAGAAATATTGGCCTGAAATTTTCCTTGTTGCTGTTGTTCTTGTGTCTCTGCTAGGTTTTAGTATCAGGATGATGCTGGCCTCATAAAATGAGTTAGGGGGGACTCCCTCTTTTCCTATTGTTTTGAATAGTTTCAAGGAGGAATGGTACCAGCTCCTCTTTGTACCTTTGGGAGAATTTGGCTGTGAATTTGTCTAGTCCTGGGCTTTTTTTGGTTGGTAGGCTATTAATTACTGTCTCAATTTCAGAACTTTTGATTGGTCTATTCAGGGACTAAACTTCTTCCTGGTTTAGTCTTGGAAGGTGTATGTGTCCAGGAATTTATCCATTTCTTCTAGATTTTCTAGTTTATTTGCATAGAGGTATTTCCAGTGTGGGTTCAGTGGTGATATCCCTTATATCATTTTTATTGCATTTATTTAATTCTTCTCTCTTTTCTTCTTTAGTCTGGCTATGGGTCTATTTTGTTGATATTTTCAAAAAACCAGCTTCTGGATTCATTGATTTTATTTGAAGGGTTTTTTATGTCTCTATCTCCTTCAGTTCTGCTCTGATCTCAGTTATTTCTTTTATTCTGCTAGCTTTTGAATTTGATCTTACTTCTCTACTTCTTTTAATTGTGATGTTAGGTTGTTGATTGTAGATCTTACTGCTTTCTCCCATGGACATTTAGTGGTATAAATTTCCCTGTAAACATTGCTTTAGTTGTGTTCCAGAGATTCTGATATGTCTTGTCTTTGTTCTCATTGGTTTCAAAGAACTTATTTATTTCTGCCTTCATTTCATTCTATACCCAGTAGTAATTCAGAGGCAGGTTGTTCAGTTTCTATGTAGTTGTGTAATTTTGAGTGATCTTCTTAATCCTGAGTTCTAATTTGGTTGCACTGTGGTCTGAGAGACTGCCTCAGTAATGGCTGGCTGTCTGACTCAGTAATGTTGGACTGCCTCAGTAATAGCGGATTGCTTTGGTAATGGCGGACTGCCTAATTAATGGCAGATTGCCTCAGTAATGGTAGACTGCCTCAGTAATGGTGTACTGCCTCAGTAGTGGTGGACTGCCTTGATAATGGCAGATAGCCTTCCCAGCACAGAGCTGGACTGTCCTTGGTCCGGCTGCACTTGCTGTGACACTTTGAATCCAGAGTGTTTCAGATTGCTGGTCTTTGTGGGGATGGGCCCTGCTGAGCCAGATCACCTGGCTCCCTACTTTCAGCGCCCTCCTTTTCAGCTGAATGGGCAGCTCTGTCTCCCAGGCCATTCCAAGCACCAGCTGAAACAGCCGCCCAGATTTGTGTGAGCTTTTGTGTGGAAACCCACAGCACCATCTGAATCAGCTGTGCTCAAAACTTGTAGGACTTTTTGGCCCAGGAATCTCCTGGTCTGTGGGCAGCAAAAACAGTGGGAGAAGCACAGTATCTGAACCAGAGTGCTGGAGTGAATGGACAAGCCTCCGATGGCCTCCATTGGGTAGAGAGGGGGTTTCTCTGTGGATTGCACCTCCTGGGTAGGCAGTGCCTTACCCTGCCTCTGCTCACCCCTCTTGGATTACACCCACTGTGCAAACATTGCCATTGAGATGCACCTGGTACCTCATTTGGAAATGTGGTGATAACTCACCCTCTGTGTTTGTTTCTCTAACTGGGGACTTCACTCCAGAGCTGTTCCTATTCAGCCACCTTGGATCTATCCCTTTGATATATACATCTTAACATTAACTGAGATAATTTCCTGCCATGAAATAGAAGATATTCTATATATGCCATGAGAATTTTTGTGTTTGTTTGCCTGCTTGATTTTTATGCTTCCTATAAAGAAACTAGAAATTTACTAGGATTCCTTGGAAGCATTTGATGAGCTACAATTGATTTTTTTTTTTTTTTTTGAGATACAGTATACTGGTCTCATTTCTCAGAGAGGTGGAAGTTCACTTGAGATAGGGTGAGAATAGAACATGATATGTAACAACAATAAAACATTATCTACAAGAGATAGTTACATACTATACAGAAGATATAACATGCCAAAGGCAATGGAATTGAAGTAACATATAGTCACTAACATCTTAGTGTAATACCTAAATAATTCTAGTATCAAACTCTATGTTTTTTGGTTTTGTTTTTCTTTATGAGATGGTGTCTTTCTCTGTCACCAGACTGGAATACAGTGGCAAGATCTCAGCTCACTACAACCTCCGCCTCCTAGATTCGAGTAATTCTCCTGCCTCAGCCTCCTGAGTAGCTGGGATGACAGATGCGCACCACCATGCCCAGCTAATTTTTGTATTTTTAGTAGAGATGGACTTTCACCATTTTGGCCAGGATGGTCTCTATCTCTTGACCTCATGATTCACCTGCCTCAGCCTCCCAAAGTGCTGGGATTACAGGTGTGAGCCACTGCACCTGGCCAGTATTCTTAATTCTGTGATAAAACTGAGATGTGATTTAACATTGGAGGGAAGTGAACAGTACTAACCATAATAGCACAAACAGGGACAGACACATGAAAGTAAGCACATTAGCAGAGTGTCTAAGTTAGTCTATGAAAGCAAAGTGAACCTACCAAAAGCACTATAAAGATCTGTGAAAATATTTAAAACTATGAATAGGAATACCAGTCAGGTCAGAAGCTGGGAAGTTTGGGAAAAGGTGCAGATGTTTTGTGTGAGGTACATAGGGTGAGTAGTTCAAGATAAATTATGTGGACAATTAAAGGAAGTTGAAGGCTTGTCTTTATTTATTCTTAGCTATGTATTACAGGGGCAAGCATAGGACCTGGAAGACAAATCTCAAAGGATTAGACTCAGTACAAATCACATGGAAACAAATTAGGCCTGCCAGTATATATCCACGCAGAAGGCAAAAGCTGAGATCCCTCAACAAGGAACAACAGAGTAGCACAGAGACCTCAAAAAGGCTGTTATTACAAAGAAATATTTTTCAAATGTTTTCTTTACCTTCCTTTCTCATTTCAGTACCCCATAGCAAGTGTGCCTACAAGGTGAAATATGCTAGATTTGTCAATAAGGAGGATCTGACAGTCTTCTGAGAAAGATTTTGAGCCAAGAGAAGGGAAAAGTGAACATTTGCCAATATCTTTCTTGTCTCACATATCTCTGATGTGAAGTTCTGAGACATTTTATCCACATTTAGTATTGTAAGTTCTTAGGATGATATACAAGTATAGATATATACAAATATATGCAGGCACTGAATGAAAGATCATTGTCACGCCATGAGAAAATAACCAAACTTTTTTTCCAAGGCAGTTCAATTTTCTAAGTGCCTGCATTTGGCATGGCACAAACTTTTATAGTATTTTTACATTGATTGGCTTACTTAACATAAAAGAAGCTCTAAAAGACTCTAAGTTTCACTATAAAAATCTGATTCAAGAAAGCCACAAGTAGCCTCCTACTAATAGAATATCTCCAACTTTTCTAAGCTTCATAAATACATATTTTGTTTTTAGAGTTTCTCATCACTATAATTTTATAAAAATGCAGATAGGGTAGAGAGCTAATTTCCATAATAGCTTTGGATACAAAAATAAATACAAATGCATATACATTCCAACAAAAGCATTTGGAGATATATACAAATAAAAGGGCCCATAGGTATATAAACAAAAAAGATCATTTCAGGGAAGATAAAGATAAAACGTGAAGTTAGGCTTTGGTTACAAAATTTAAGTTGTTGGGAAGTTAGTGAATAGAAGAAAAATTTAATGGACAGTGAAGCAATCAAAGGACATTAGAATTATTTTAAAAATTTAAATAATGAAACTAAATTATGCTATATAGAAACAATAACAGAATCTGGTATATACAATCTTTTTTCTTTAAAATTTAATAAATTGGCCAATACAGGAGTACAGTCTTTTGTAAAAATGTAATCAGAAGTAATATTGCATACATATATATTTAAGCATTTAGAATCATGGTATTTAAATGATTACATCAATAGATTTACTATTTAGTGGGGGAGTGTCTGATTTAAGTAGTCAAAAAATAATCCTTACCTCATTGATCAAAAATTGGAGCTGTAGGACAGCTGCACCACTTTCATGTTGGCAATAGCAATCAACACCAGGTCTCCCGAGTCTAATATAAAAAAAAGTCAAGGATTCTAACATTTAAATTAGCACCAATATTAATGAGCAAAGGAGAAACTAATTTATCAAGAGATGTTTTCTTTTTAGTTTCCCTTATTTTTATAAATAAAAAGTTGAAAAATCTTAGTAGAGGCAAATTAAATTTTATAGCTCAGATTGCTTAGTACTCCAGCAATTTGAAAAATTTGAAAAAAAAATGATAAAAATTTGAAAGACATCAGCTTTGTTGCATGAAGTTAAACAATTAAGAATCCAGATACGTCTCATTTCATTTAAGATTTTTTAATTCATTGAACACTCTTTTCACTAAAATTAATTCAAAATGAGTCAATAATTTAATATAATTAAATAATAAGATCAATTTAAAAAGACATAGGTAAATGGGTTGATAAACTTGACATATCAAAAATCTTCTAAGTATGATTTAAAACTCAGTTCATAAAGGAATAAATTGATATATTTGACTATATGAAAATATAAAATATCTACATAAAAAGATAAATAAAAAACAAGAAAACTAGAAAATATACCATACTAAAATTAAGACATAAATGGAAAGATATATTAATATACAGTAAAGTTGATTTAAGAACATAAAACATTACCAAAATTAAAAGCAGTCACTTCATAATAATAAATGGGTCAAATTATTTAAAAGGCATAAAAATCCAAAATTATATGCCTAATTATACAGCTTAAAATACATGATACAAAAATGATAGAAACACAAAGAGAAACAGATGATTTCACAATTATAGTTGGACTTTTTAACATCCTTCTCTCAATAACTAATATAAGAACAATGTAAGTAACAATAAAGAAGATTTAAGTAAAAGACTATCAGCCAACTTGACCTAATTGGCATTTAAAGAACACATCACCCAAAAAGAGCAGAATACACACTCTTCTGAAGTATTAAAGAAACAATTGAGGGGTGGATCCAAGAGGGCCGTTTAGGAACAGCTCAGGATTGCAGCTCCCAGTGAAAGTGCAGAGGGTGAGCAGACGCCACATTTTTATTGCCTACAGACTAGGAAATCCCCAGACGGAGGAGCTCCATGGGTCACCAGTATGGCTGTTTTTACCAGTGCGGCCGTGTCAGCCAGCGACGCTGCTTTGCCCCGCGCGGCTGCTTTGTCAGCGCCCCAGTGCAGCGATTCTCCATACAAAATACACTGGTCTGGGTGCCCTTTTGGCTGGTGATTGGAGCCATGGGAAGTCGCCCATTCATCTGCTTAAAAAGGGGACTGAACAGGGAACAAGGACAGAAGATTCCATTTATGTCTTAATTTTAGTATGGTATATAATTTTGTATGTTTTAACATTTAACCTACTTGTATATATTTAAAGGAGGTTTCCTTACAAAGCATATACTTAGGTCTTGCTTTTTTATCTGCTCTGACAATCACTGCATTTTAAGTGGGGTGTTTACATTATTTACATTTAGTGTGGTATTGGTATGGCTGAGTAAAAACCTTCCATCTTGCTTTTTGCTTTCTATTTATCTTACTAGTTCTTATTCCTCCCCTCGACAATGTTCTGACTTATGTCAAAATTTTTTATGATTTTTTTATGACTTCATTTTGCTCCTTTGTTAGCTAATTGGCTATAATATTCTTAGTGATTGCCTTTTGGTTTATATTAATAGTATACAGCTGTACCTTATCAAAGTTTACCTTAATTAATATTATACTACTTTATTAATACTATAATAGTAAAGTTGCTATTTCCCCTCCTGTTAGCCTTTGTGCTGTTGTTAACATCATTTTACTTCTACATCTTATAATCCACAAATGTACTATTATTATTTTTGTTTCAAACAGTAAATTATCTTTTAAAGATAACTTGTATTTTATATTTACCCATATATTTATCATTTTTAGTGTTCTTTTTTTTTGGTATAATCAGATACTATTTGATGTCATTTTCCTTTTCCCTAAAGATTCCCCTTGACGGGAATCTTTCAGTGCAGGTTTTTTCATGATGAATTATTTCAGTTTTATGTGTCTGAAAAGTGTCTTTATTTCACCTTCATTTTTTAAAAAATTTAATTTTGGTCATTATTTTAAAATATATTTTTTCTCTCCTTTCCCTCCCCTTTCTCTTCTTTATTACTGAAATTACAACTAATTAGGCCATTTTATATTGATCAACAGTTCATTGGTGTGCTGTTCTTCTTTTACTTCTCAGTTATTTTTTTCTCTGTGTTATGTTTTGGATAGTTTCTATGGACATATTTTTAAGTTCACTAATATTCAGTGTATTTTATAAAACATCTCTAGATATTCTACTTGAGATAGGTAGATAGGTGAATAGATAGATTTGTATATCTACTTAACATAATCAGTCTTCTCTCTACCTTTTTCAACATATGCAATGTAGTATAATAAATGTTTTACTATCTCTATTATTCCAGGGCAAAAAAAATGCCATGAATCTCAGTGCCGCTGTTTAAGCCAGCGCAGTGAGTCGCCGCACGGGAAAACACACAGATCCCGGTGCCTCTTCAACAGGCAACTGGAACACCAACTTAAAAAAAAAAAAAAAAAAAAGGCTCTGAGGCAGGGAGCGAGGTGATCAGGCTCGGCTGGTCCCACCCCCACAAAAGAAGAGCAATCAGAAACTCTATGCATTGAGAGTTTCACAGCAAGCGCAGCTGAACCTGGAACGGTCCAGCTCTGTGGGGGAGGGGTGTCCGCCATTACCAAGGCACTCCAAAACTACAGAGGTAGCCAGCCAATGCTGAGGCAGCCCGCCGCTGCCAAGGAAACCCACCATTGCTGAGGCAGCCCGCCGTTGCCAAGGCAACCCGCCGCTACAGAGAGACTCCGCCTTAAAAGAGGCGGGCCACCATTGCCAAGGCGGTTCTAGCTACACCCATATAAACAGGACTGCAGGGAAGTTCACCCGGCAGCTGGGCAGAGCCCACAACAGCTCAGCAAAGCCTCTACAGGCAGTCAGTGACTAAGCTGCCTCCTTGCTGGGCAGGGCAGCTCTGAAGGGAAAAAAAAAAAAGAGAAGCGTGGCAGCTCTTTAACAGAAACTCATAAATAAAGCCCTAAATCCCTGGGACAGAGCACATGGGAACAAAAAGCAGTTTATGAGTTCTGCTGCAGCAGACCTAAACGTACCAGCCCAGCAGCTCTGAATGAACAACGGAGCTCACAGCTCAGCATTGGAGCTCCTACAAAGAAGAGACCGTCTCCTCAAGCAGCTCCCTGACCCCTGCATATCCAAAGAGCCACCTCATAAAGGAGAGATCAGATTGACACTTGGCAGGTATCCTTCTGGGACAAAGATAGCAGAAGAAGAAAACGGGTAACAACCCTTACTGTTCTGCAGCTGCTGCACGTAATCCCCAGGCAAGCAGGGCCTGCAATGGACCTCAGCAGACCTATGGCAGAGGGGCCAGACTTTCAAGAGGAAAACCAAGAAACAGAAATAACCTTATCGTCAACAAACAGAACGTCAACTCAGAGACCCAATCTGAAAGCCAGCAACTACAAAGACAACAGGTGGATAAATCCATAAAGATGGGAAGAAACCAGCGCAAAAAGAATGAAAACACTTGAAAGCAGAACACCTCTCCTCCTACAAGGGATCACAACTCCTTACCAGCAAGGGAACAAGGTTGGATGGAGAACGAGTGTGATGAAATGACAGAATCAGACTTCAGAAGGTGGGTAGTAAGAAACTTCAGTGAACTAAAAGAACATGTTCTAACCCAATGCAAAGAAACTAAGAACCTTGAAAAAAGATTTGACGAAATGCTAATGAGAATGGACAAAATAGAAAGGAATATAAGTGAATTGATGGAGCTGAAAAACACAACATGAGAACTTCGCGAAGCATGCACAAGTATCAACAGCCAAATTGACCAAGTGGAAGAAAGGATATCAGAGGTAGAAGATCAACTCAATGAAATAAAATGGGAAGGCAAGAATAGAGAAAAAAGGGTAAAAAGGAATGAACAAAGTCTCCAAGGAACGTGGGGCTATGTGAAAAGACCTAATCTACGTTTGATAGGTGTACGTGAATGCGACAAAGAATATGAATCCAAGCTGGAAAATACTCTTCAGGATATTATCCAGGAAAACTTCCCTAACCTAGCAAGGCAGGCAAATATTCAAGTCCAGGAAATACAGAGACCACCACAAAGATTTCCTCAAGAAGAGCAACCCCAAGGCACATAATCGTCAGATTCACCAGAGTTGAAATGAAGGAGAAAATCCTAAGGGCAGCCAGAGAAAAAGGGTGGGTTACCCACAAACAGAAGCCCATCAGACTAAGAGCAGATCTCTCAGCAGAAACCCTACAAGCTAGAAGACAGTGGAGGCCAATATTCAACATCCTTAAAGAAAAGAATTTTCAACACAGAATCTCCTATCCAGGAAAACTAAGCTTCATAAATGAAGGAAAAATAAAATCCTTTATGAGCATGCAAGTACTCAGAGATTTCGTCACCACCAGGCCAGCTTTATAAGAGCTCCTGAAAGAGGCTCTACACATATAAAGGAACAACCAGTGCCAGCCACTCCAAAAACATGCCAAATGGTGAAGAGAATCAACACAATGAAGAATCTGCAACAACTAATAGGCAAAACAGCCAGCGAGCACCAAAATGACAGTATCGAATTCACAGATAACAATATTAACCCTAAATGTAAATGGACTAAATGCCCCAATCAAAAGACACAGACTGGCAAATTGGATAAAAAACCAAAACCCATTGGTGTGCTGTATCCAGGAAACCCATCTCAAGTGCAAGGATACACAAAGGCTCAAAATAAAGGGATGGAGGAAGATTTACCAAGGAAATGGCGAGCAAAAAAAAGCAGGAATTGCAATTCTCATCTCTGATAAATTAGACTTTAAAGCAACAAAGATCAAAAGAGACAAAGAAGGACGTTACATAATGGTAAAAGGATCAATGCAACAAGAAGAGCTAATGATCCTAAATATATATGCACCCAATACAGGAGGACCCAG